ACCCACAAGGATCACTGAGTCTGACTCCTGCCTCCTCACAGGACCAACCAAAAATCTCAAGTCCCAGGGATGTTGGTGCAGAGACCCACTGAGCTGCTGCAGAACAGCGGATGTACTGAAATTAACCGATCCAAACCCTCTCCATACAAGTGCACACATTCATAATGTGTTTTACTGAGCAATTAAATGTGTAAGATAAATATCCTTGGGGGAGGAGGGCTGTCTGAAGTTTTATGGCATATCTTTGAAATCTCGATCCAAGCACAACACTGCATAGAGACCTAATAATGCTGGAGTGTGACTGCGCCCCGTACCGCCTTCTGATTATTTCACCAAACCATTTTGCTGATGAAAAAATTAAAGCTGATTTTTTTAAATTAAAACTTTATTATTATTATTATTATTATTAGGAAGTTATTTTTCAGTGGCACGCTCAGTACAGCCATGAGGTGGATGGCAAACCAGCTGCCTGCAGTTCAGGTGCAAAAGCCATTTTGGAGGATGTGTGAGCAGTCAGAATGACCCATATTGCAGTTTCTGTACCCGATCTGCAAGTGTAGCACCTCTCTTAGAGCTCTGTGGGGTTCCCTCGTGTTTAGCAAATGAAATGTACAACAGCAAAACCTCAAAAAGCGACCGGATCCCAATAAATAACAGCCGGATTTCTTCTGGAATCAAAAAGCTCTCGGTGGCTTTAGATGGATTTATGGCGCATCGGGATGCTCTTTTCAGGAGTTCGTCCCCTGGGTGGCCCGGGCTGCGACGGTGGTGAGGGGCCGGGGTGTCCCCGCCGCGGTGCGGTACGACTCCTACTGACAGCCGGCCGCTCTCAGCAGCGCGACTACGGCGGTCCTCAGCGTGCGCCCGGCTTTAACCCTGCGCTCGATTTTCACTTTGCTTTGCGTCCCGCTTTCGCTTGCTTGGTTGTTTCGGGTTGGTTGGTTCAGGCAAATAAATATTAAAGGACAGAGGGGACCCACGTGCAGAAGAAAGAAAGAAACAAACAAAAATTGTTGGTTTTTTTTTTTTTTCTCCCAAAGAGTTTTCATCTCACTTCCAAAAAGTTTCGTTCCACTCACACCTCAAAGCTCTTCATTTGACACTGAAACAAAAGAAATGGACGCAGATTTCCCACCCGTCAACCCCCGGCAGCACATCTTCATCCTCCTCCTCTCTGTCTCTCTTCTCTCGCCCCGTTTCTCCGCTGCCCCACGCGCAGGTCTCCACGCACTGCCGGCGCTGCGCGCAGCGAAACGGCCGCTCAGGGAAGAAGCTCCGGCGGAGCTGACAGCTGGGAACGGTCGCAGGTGGAGGCGGCAGGGCTCTTCTCACCATCCTTTCTGCCTTTTCTTTCGCACCATCGGACGCACGCAGAACCTCCCGGGTTATGTGGTTGTTTGTCTGTTTGTTTTTCCCTTTTCCCTTAATTATCCCTCTTTATGCCTTTTTTATTATTATTATTATTTAACGCCCGGCCAGTTTTTCCTCCTTCTGCTCCGCTCTCTGCTCGAGCGAACCGCAGCCTACAGCCCCGTTCCGCGCCGGGACAGCCCCAGAACAGCACCGCACATCCCATTTCAGAGGAAGGATGCGGCCCCCGAGATGGAGTCTCGGAACGGAGCTGAGCTAGGAATGGGATGGGATGGGGTAAAGGGCGGGCGGTGCGCATCCGAGGGGATCTTCATGGGAAGAAGAAGAAGAAAAAGAAAAAAGAAAAAAGAAAAAAAGGAGGGGAAGGAAGGGGAGGGGTGGGGAGGGGGAAAGAAGAAAAAAAAGAGGAGGGAAAAAAAAAAAAAAAAGGGAAAAGAAAACAAAGAAAAAAAAGAAGAAGAAGAAAAAGGAAGAGCCGCACGTGTCTTTTGAAAGAGCCGGTGCGCTCCCTGCGGCCCCGCTGCCCGCCCGGCTCCTGCTACGTCCCGAGGAGCTCCGCTCACCGGCGCGGCTGCGGGGCAGGCGAGGAGGACACCGCACCGAGGGGCCGGTGCTAAAGAAGCGGAGGGATGGGTCCGACGGGTGTCCCCACCCACGGGTACACTTTGGCGGTGCGTGAAAAAGAGAGGGGGGGGAAAAAAAATCACATTTTAACTACGCATAAGGAGGTGGAAATCTCTCCCCCCCACACTCCCCCCCCCAATCCTTGCCCTCTCCCTCGGGGCGTGAAATCAGACCTGAATCCTTCAGGGGAAAGGGGAAAAAAAAAATCCACGGGTGGGA